AACAACGATGGCAACACTTATACATAAGTGCATGTTTATACGCATTGAAAAGCTTATCCTTTTTGCCATTTTGTGCCACTAGCCGCGTTTGCCAGTTCAAATGGCGGTTGCCAGACTGTATAAAGAGTATATATAGTAGTGAAAAATCGAGTGACGATTGCCTGAAATAATGGCCAAATCAAATACCGGATGCTTGTACGCATCATCGATCTTAATTACTACTACCTCCATATTTTAATATATGACGCTGTTGTCTTTTTATTCAACGTTTGACCATTCATCTTATTAAAAAAAATTATATAATTATCATTTATTTTATTGTAACTTGATTCATCATCAAATATTCTTTAAGTATGATATAAATATTTTCATATTTACATAAAAATTTTAAATAAAACGAAGGATAAAAATTGATAAAAAGTCAACGGCGTCATAAATTAAAATACGAATACGGAGGGAGTACGTACTATGTCAACTTCTTGCTGAGTTTGGTGATTTGTGACATTGCAAGAGAGGACTTGGCGTTGCCTCGAACTTTCTATAAGGTCGATCGGTCGTCGTCGCCATATATACTAGGCATCGGTGCACCATCATTCAAGAGCTATCGATCTCTCCTTGAAAATATAATTGATCTACCAGACATCTGTCCGTGCAAGATCAGACGATGACACCAAAAACACGATGTTTAATTCATAACGGTGCAGCCAAAGTCTATATATATCTCCGAAGCACACATCACGGGTGTTTCTCTTCAATTAGCATCAACCGGCTAAGCCGGCCAATCGTACCTATTAGTGACGGCTTCGAGAGGTGGTCCATATAGCCCTTGAGGCCTTGAACCATCCACTACCACAGAACCCCTAATACAAGTGGACACTATAAGTGTCGAAAGTGGTAAAACAAGCACCTATAGTATCGTTCCCGCCTACCCGCCTGCTCACGCCACCCCGCCTAAACCCTGAAAACCAACACCTTTTTTCTTCAAATAGTTGCTGGTTTTTAAAAAGATCTTTCACCTATTACCTCTGTCAGAGAAAGGTGCCGTTTTGTATATAAAATCCGGCACCTTATATTCCCCAGCCCATCGGAGTAGTTGGTGCGGGACCCACCCTAGAACCGGCATCTTTTTGGTGAAAGAGATTGATTTTATTTTAAGAACCGACATTTTTCACCCTTCACCTCCTGAACTATAGCTGTTGGGGGACCCACCCTGTAAACCGGCACCTTTTGTACTGTCAAACATAGGTGCCGGTTTTAGTGTGTAGGGATACGCGTAAGCTACGATAGCATAAATCAAAATTTTCTACCGCGTAAACCAGGAACCAAGCAAGTCTTAGATCATAGATCGTTACCACTCGACGCGCTGCGCAGTAGAAGAAAGCGCTAAGAAGGCAAAGGAACCCTCACGATGTAGCGCGCGTTGATGTAGAGGAAGTAGTCGATCGCACCGGCTCGACCTTCTCCTCCTCGTGCGTTCTCCTCGCCGTGCTCCCACGCCGATCAGCACCGCAGAGCAGCGGCGCCTCTATCGGTATCCACACGTATAGGGACAGAACGCCACGTGCAGATGTGCTAGCACCCGCGCGCGGCTAAGGTTTTGCTCGGGGAGGGGAGCGGCGGCTAGGGTTTCTCACGTGATGCAATACCTCCGCCGGTCACACCCCTCACGAATATATACGATCCACGACTCGGGCCTCCAAGGCCCGTAGGATTTATATTCGGATCCCTATCCGAATTAAGCTCATATTGGATATCCATCCATTCCCCTTATTCCAGCCCATTAAGTGTGTAACCCTATAGGTTCATATACACTCGCCTGTAACCCGAAAACTCTTTTTCGGTCCATGTGTCAATAGTGGTCCCTAGCCGAATGTATTGACCCACCGGACATACATAAAGATCATATCGGCTGAACCTCTAGTGTATACTTGTATGAACCCCTTTGCCTCACGATATCGATTAAGCTTAAGGCTAGATATGTGCCATCCTCTAATAGCTCATTCACTCGAACTTGTGATAGATTATATATTACTTGTGATTGACTCCTCAATCACCTTTGGCATGGCCATGCACTTTCATAATCTATAACATCGAGGGGCCTAGGGATATCTTTTCATAGGAGGGGCAAATCCCATCTTGATTTTTCATATCCCACTACATGTTTCATAGCATACCCGAAAACTACTTTTATAACTACCCAATTACAGAGTAGCGTTTAGCAGTCTCTAAGTAAGCTACTACATATGTTGGGAACCATGATAATCTCAAGTCTAAGGATTCGACACCAACACTAAATGAGATCACTGATGACAGAACACATATGGCTCTTGCAGTGTCTCATGTTGGGTCTATCCAACAATATGTTCCCCAACATGTGTCCACATTATTAATTTAGTATCTCTATACCATGATCCATGAGACATAATCATCAATTAATACATGTGCTGATTATTTAAACATATTTGTTCCACATTTGATATTTGATCAGTGATCCTTTAGAAATAGTGACATACAACATAAAGAATCTCATGAAAGAATCACATATTCATTAACCAATAATGAGTTATCTATTTCAAGGAACAATATCAGATAAATATGTAAACATAGTATGTGTGGGGATACCCGGTTTGAGTATGGTATCCCGAAACCACCCAACCGTCCAGGATTTCGATCGCGCACAGATTGATATACAGAACAACTTTCGATACGTATACCCAAGTTTTTATAGAAATTATTACATAAAAGATAACTAAGACAGGTTTTAGGGGCCGACAGGGCAAACACACTCCCCACAAACAGAAGACCCATACACAAAATAGGATAAAAACACCACAGGCAACGCCTGAGAGCAGATCGACCTAGAACAAGAACTCGTCAGCACCATAGAATTCTTCCCCTTCCTGCGCCTCCTCAGGGAAGAACCGATCGTCTGAACCACATTTTATGCAAGAGGTGAGTACCGAGGTACCCAGCAAGCCACATCCATAATAATACAAATAGAATATGTGCAAGGCGTACAAAGAAGAATATAGTTCATCAAGGAGGTTTCATAACAAGCCTATTATAAATAGTTTTTTACTACTTTGTAAAACATTTCATTTGCAAACAGTTGTAAATCATTATTTTAAAATAGTAGCAATATTAATCACCATTCATCCTCATCTTCATCATATTCCATATTTTAATTTAAAATCTACTCATACCATGATAAATAGGAATCACCCAATGACATAGCTTCTTAACCGGAAGCACGGCACATTCGAATGATTTAAGACTCATCTCTGCAGAGACTGCCTAGCTTTACCCACCTGATGTCAACAGCGAGCTAGGCTGAGGACAACATAGCCGTTCGAGAGTCCCACTTACTACTAGTTACTGCCCAGTGGGATATTGATCCGTCCTAGCAGTCGGGCACTTGCTGGGCCTAAGCAAGGCTAGACGGTCGCTGCTTTCATGGGTTCCACCGTTGCGGATCATGTCAACCTGGCCGAAGCCCCTTCCACATGTCCACCCCAAACCTGCTCATAGAGCCACCCTACAGTCTTTCATATAGTGGGACCATGTACTAGGCTAAGTCTGATTACTTGGTCCTGTGGATGGGCGCAAATTACATCATTTTCCATGGCATAAGGGGGTAGTCCTTATATCCGAGGGAAGCCACCAAAACTAGCACAGGCCCGTGCATACTTTAAGTGTAAATATACACTTTCAACAAAATAATTATAACAATATGCACGGCCTAACACACCACAACATCCATCTTCATCCGGAATTAATCTTCCATATCACTCCAGGCGAGTGACTCATATCAAATAACATATTTTATATCACCCGACACGCCACCACGTGACAACGGGTAAACCATGTATATGAGTATAGATATTTTGTGGTCTTATCCACTAGAATATTATTGTGAAGTATATAAATCTACACCTAGGTTATCAAAGGACGTGATATAGCAATTCATGGATCTGGCCAATAATAACAATGTAATATTGGGTAATAACTAAACTAACAAGTTTATTCAAAAATAATTCATACGCAAAATAATTTTATAAATACTCAATGCATAAAATAACTAAGTGGTTCTCTACTAGGTTTCAATATGATCAAAGATTGGAACTGTGGCTTGCCTTACGGAACGTGGCCTTCCGAAGCTTCAGCGTAGCCTTCTAGGTCCACTTCAATTCCCGTGAGTCCGGTGGGATCTTCAACGTGATCTAACGTACGCACACAAAGAAACGACCAAATAAGCCTATAATAAAAATACTACAAATAAATGGTAAAATAAATATTGTGAATCAGAGCCCGAACAAAAAAAAATGATAAATTGAGAGTTAACTTAATTTGGAATGGCAAACGATTTATCCTAGGGTTATGATTTATGGCATGTGTAATAGTGGTTGCAATTTGAGAGTAACGCTATAGACAACAAAGGTGAAAACTGAAATTGATTTGGTGTTTTAGAGCTTGAACAGGAGGAAAACAACCTAATAGAAGTGTTTGGACTGGTTTTATTGTGGTTGGGCACTATTTAGGTGGTTTTGATGGGGTTGGTTGGGTTCAACCAATAGGAAATAGTGCTGGCCGGCACTGTTTATCTTCTTCCCGTGGCTTTTCTCGTGATTAACAGAAGTGGAGAGAAAGGCTCCAGAACTTAAGTGAGGGAACGGCGACGGAGACGATAGCATGATGTGTTCCACAGGCTGACACCCCCACAGGACGTGGACGCTGGGCTGGAAGACAACAAAGCTAGCCGGAACGCAAGTTCTAGATCTGCAGCTATGGTGACATCGGGCATGGAAGTGGCAGCCCCGGTGGCGAACGCGGGCGGGTGAGCGCGTCAAAACATGTTCCCGGATGAGAAGGTTCCATTTTTGTGGTTAGTTGATAGAGGTGAAGCGTCGGCCATGCCGACCACGGTGGCAGCCATGGTGACGGACAGGAGCACGATGGGAGCTCGACACAAGCAAGGAAAGAAGGTTGGGGAAAATTCTCACCAGTGAGAGGTGATCCTGCTGGTGCTATGGTGAGGAGGCAGAAGGTCGACGACGGCGAAACGGCTGCACAGCCGGCCTTGGCCCTGGCAGGAGAAATTTTGGGATGAAAACGTACGAGATTAGCACTTGATGTCTACAGAGGAATAGCAGACTTCGGCTCGTTCACTTTGAAGGAGAGAAGGACTGGAGGAGGAGGGAAAACAAAGGAGGGATGGCTACGAGCAGCTGCGTGGCTGTTTCGGAGCCGCACGGCACGACGGCCATTGGAGATCGGCGCGTGGTTGGCGCGAGGCGGCACGAGGCTGCACAAGGCGGTCATGAGTTGGGCTCAGGGTGGCACAAGGAGCAGCGTAGGCAGGTGCAAGGCGGCACGCAGCTAGCGCGTGCGGACACGAGCAGGACACAGGGCGGCACGAGCGGCGGCTAGAGCGAACGAAGCGAGCAGCGGCTTGGCTGGGGTGGCTGCCTCGGCTGGGCCAGGACATGAGCTAGAACAGCCCAACACAGAGAGTGACAAGGGAAAAAGAAATCCGGGATATGGGCTGGAATGCAAGGAACTCGGCCCGAGAAGAAACACAGTGATCTATTTGAATTTTTGGAGAGATTTTTGCATAGAATTTTGGTAGGATATTTTTTAATAGGAATTGATGGGATTTGGGGTCTTAGAATATTTGCATGATGACTCTGGGATAACTTAAAATAAACACGAGCTCTTCTGATGATTTTGGGAATTTTCTTTGGGATATCTCGGATTTTGTTTGGAGAGGGAAACTAAACAAGGTTATGTGGGAGTAGGAAACTTAGAGCGAACAAAAGAAATATAAGGATTGGGAGACTCCAATTCGAAAGAACGAAGAACATCGACTTTAAATATTTTCGCAAAAATTTTACCCTGAAAAATCTAGTATGTTACAGTATGTGATACAATCATCTCTATGATTGTCTCTAGGGCATATCACTAACACTATGAGCCGACCACATATATGAGTACCATCCTATCCACCGAGTTGATCAAGCAAGAACAGACTTGCGCCTCTTGTTCTTGCCCGATCAGCTAGAGGAGGTGTGGTTTTGCTCCTTTTTTTTTTAAAGATTGAAGCCTGCAAGGTAAATATTCATTATTTCTCACTCCATTCCTCTCTTACTTTATGATTTGAATTACCATGTGCTATGTATGCATGTAAAATTATGTGTTGTTTTTAGAGATAATTCTTATCTTTTTTGTGTCCATTAATCTCATTAGATCTATTCTCGGATGACATGCTAAATTTGAATTAATGTTTTCTTCCATATGTAGGATCGAATTACTAGAACTAAGCCAACCAGAGAGGAGTGAATGGTTGGTGTACCCAAAAAATCAAACTTTTTACGGAATTAAAAGTTACCCTCAAATCGATGTAGATCGGTCTGACCGCGCCTGTGCTGCCGGTCTGACCGATCTGGATCACCCGGTCCAACCGCCTGAAATCGCCTCTGCCTCTTGACGCTGCCGCCGGTCTGATCGGTGTGTACCCGCCGGTCTGACCGCCGTGATGCCGTCGGTCTGACCACCGGTGTTTCGTCGGTTAGACCGCCGAACCTGAGCAAACACAAATCGAAGATCTCTCAAAGTAGATGACAACTTTATTACTTCTCTCTGTGTTTACAAAGTGCAACAACCACACTCCTTATGAAAATCTCAACTAAACTCGAAACCCTAACTCAACTATCAACTCAATGCTCTCAAAAGCGATACTGGGAGGCCACGCCCTCCCTCTCTATTTATACATGAGGTAGACAGTCTAAAACTACGAACCCAACTCATACAAGACCACACTTTACATAACCAATTGTACCAAATTTGGACTCCTTCCAAATTCGACTTCGTATCCCATACGCACACAATATCTCCATCGTATGCCATATGGAACCTTCACCAACCATTTGCATTGAACCCTAGCCTAAGTATACCGCATGATATCTGATCATCACGGACGTCGCCTTATCCCCAAGTCGACTCCCGATCCATAACCGGCAATACTCTCCCGAGGCATCAAGTCACCTACATATGAATCAAACAAAGAAACCATATTCCGAGACCAAGCTATCTCCAACTTGACTCATTGTTAGCAAACAACAGTATTACATACATATAGTATCTATCTAGAAGCCATAAACATGAAACAATCATGGATATCCAAACAAACAACCCGAAACCGAAACCGACATAGAGTCGGCTAGTCAGACTGCGGGCTGGCCGGTCTGACAGCTCGATATATGCCAGTCTGACCGCTCGGTATATGCTGGTCTGACCGGCAGCACTTACCCGATCTGACCGGTCCCGACAAAGCAGTAGTCCCTGTTCACCGTCTAGAAATCCATCATCTCCAAAACCACTTCGCCAATAATCTCCAAATATCAAAACCAATAATCACAGATGCCAATTGTTCATCACAAAATAATAATCAAACACACTTTGATTTTACGCCATATCTATGCTATCACCGTTAGTCAATTGTTAGTCAATCTCCGTTAAGGACAAGAAATTGTTTGTCTTTTCGTTATCCCATATCCCGTAAGTGGTAACCTCAAAATATTTTTTTTCTAGCATATGTGGCATGAGTAATAGCATAACAAAATTGCAGAGAATCCCTGTGTGGTGGAGATGGTACTATTGGGCAAACCCAGTTGCCTGGAGCCTCTAGCGTCTGACTTACATCGCAGTTAGGGGATCGGGATGGCATGCTGGACACCGGCGAACCCATAAGGGCATTCCTTCTGCGGTACTTTGGTTTCGAGATGGGCTTCTTGAAGCTTGCCGCCATGGCTGTTCTTGGCTTCAATCTCCTCTTTGCTCTCATATTCGTAGTGTCCATGAAAGTGCTCAACTTTCAGAATAGATGAACATCATTGACCATCTCCCCTCTTTCATGTACTTCCTGGGCATGTTAGCCCTAAAATCTAAGCTCCAATAAAAAGAAGAAACAATCTTCTTGTCTTGAACGAGAGCTAGTCTATCTTTTCAGGCCAACTTGTGTTGCAAAGATACTTGCTTTACTTGCACAACATTTCGGATTGATTCAGTGTTCCAGGACGCATCAGATTATGGAATACATCAACACTTGCAGCATCCACGAAAACGTACACAAACAGTTGGTGATACTTAATAAAAATGGGAGAAATTAACATCCAAGGCTCCAAGCCATTGAATTCGGAAATCCTAATTGGCGATCGATCGTCTGGGACGGGGGTAGCGATCAATTCCCCTCCCCCCTCCCTCACTCCACTGGTTTCCTTTTTTGGTACCGCATTACTTTTCTATTTTAGTAAATTTATGCACCTCAAGTTTATACACCTCAAGTTTACACATCTAAAGTTTAGAGACCCAAAGTTTACACATCTAAAGTTTAGAGACCAAAAGTTTATATATCCGATTCAAATTTGAATTTGAATTCAAAATTTTTTATATATAGTATTTCTATACATCTAAAGTTTATAGACCAAAATTTTATAGACCCAAAGTTTATAAGTCAAAAGTTTACATACCCGATTCAAATTTGAATTTGAATTATATCTGATTTAAATTTGAATTTGAATTCAAATATTTTCTATATATAGTATTTTTATGCATCTAAAGTTTATAGACCTAAAGTTTATAAGTCAAAAGTTTACATACCCGATTCAAATTTAAATTTGAATTATATCCGATTCAATTTGAATTTAAATTCAAATATTTTCTATATATAATATTTCTATACATCTAAAGTTTATACACCTAAAGTTTATAGACCCAAAGTTTATAAGTGAAAAGTTTACATACCCGATTCAAATTTAAATTTGAGTTCAAATTTGAATTTGAATTCAAATTTTTTATATATAGTATTTCTATACATAAATTTTTCTAACTTTTTGTTTTTTTAAAAAAAATTATGTGGTGTACTGTAGTAGGAAGAGAAGAAGGGGAGGAGAAAGGGGGGAGAGAAGGGAGGAATGTATCGAGTATAGGGGGAGGGGGGCGGATATGATCGCTGGATCGATCGCCCGCCCATTAGGGCCCCCCCACTGAATTAGATCAAGGGAAGGGTTTCTTTGCATCCTGTTTGGCGATGGCCCAATGTGAAGCCAGGAACAAGCCCAACATCTGGTGGGCGTTGGCCTTCGGAGAATGATTCGGTTTTCTGGGCTGCATCTAAACTTTGAAGAGTTTTTTTTCCCCTTCTTTTGTTCACCTTGAGATTCGTTTTGAAACATATTACAATCGCAGTCGCTTACAATGCGCGCACACTCACCACTATAAAGGCACATATGCACACCCTACGCCTATGACGCAGTCGCTCATAACGCGCGCACACTCACCTATATAAAGGCACACATGCACACCTTATCCCTATGAGCACCTCCGGAAGACTGAGCCGGCATATATTGAGATTAACGAAGTCACCATAGGTATCTCACTGTCGACGTGTATGTCACTTACTACTAAAAGAATAAATAGCCATAAATGCGAGCACCTATATCAAGTTTAAAACTTGAACCAGTTGAACTATACTCTGAAAAGCTAGCTATTGAGACTTTTTTTAAGGGGAAACATTACTTAAGGAAAGTTGTTTTTCTCATCTTCTAGATTTAGGGTTATCTTCTAAAATCTGTAGGTAGTAATTGTAAAAAAAACTAGAGATTTTACAGAAACTACATGTGTTATAGGATTCCTCAAAAGGGGTTCAATTTCTAATTATTTTTTTTCTTTGCGAAGAAAAGGGTTACAAGATTTAGGGTGAGTTTGAGGAGAAGGAGATTGGGAAAATATGCAAAACGAGGTGAGCCATTAGCGTATTATTAATTGAGTATTAACTATTTTAAATTTCAAAAATGGATTAATATGATTTTTTTAAACAACTTCCTTATAGAAAATTTTTGCAAAAAAACGCACCGTTTGTTAGTTTGGGAAGCGTGCACGCGGAAAACGAGTTGTTTTCTCACCCTATCTCACATGAACTAACACAGCCTTACAGCTCTTGCTTATCCCTTCCTAAGCATTCTCCCCTTGTCTAAATAAAAGGATTTTTTTTATATGGCAGTAGATTATAATTTGGTAGTGCAACAACTTACAATTTCGGTACAGTTTAGTCGTAAAGGTCTGACGGCTCATGTTTATTTTGGCGGTTGAAAAACCATGGCCGAATAATGCCAGTGAAGAATCAAGCATAAATCATGGCCTCATGGGTGCAACAACTATCCAGCCTTCTTGTGTTGTGAGACAGATTTTTGCATCATACAGTTAGGTGTTCAGCCAACCTAACTTTGAGAGCTCGATTGAATGTGTGCTTTTTCTATAACATAGTATGATTCTTCTGTCCTCTAAAGGAACATCCGTTCTTTTCCCTTTTATTTTTTTTTGAATAAACTGTATTTTGTTGTACGGCACACGGGGTACACAGATGCACCTAACAGTCTATCTATCAATCAACTATGGCTGGTTATTATACATACATGGTGTGCTTAGCTAGAGCAACCTAATATAACCACCGCCGTCCAAGGTTAGATCGCCAAATTAAGTGACGGAATTCCACAAAACAGACCAAGCGTACGTATAATCCGTACTCCCTCTCTCGATCGGTCATAAAAACATGTACTCCCTCTGTTTTTCAAGCCATTCATATTAGAATTAGAATTTTGACCACCGATTAGATCATTAGACTAAACTTAACAAAAGATTTACTATTATATCTAAGTACATGGTACACTTTAGTAACATAAAATTATTTTAAGTATTTTTAAATATTTTTTAAAAAGATAAATAGTCAAATTTTGAAAATGAATAGTATCCGTTGTCATTTATTTAAATATGAAGGGAGCATCTTTTCAGCATTGACGGGTATCCAGAATATAATTTTGACCATTGATTTCTACACAATAAATACTTACAAAATCTGACATAATAATATTATGAAAGTACAAATTTGAACACATAAGTTTCACACGCCCAGTCTAAATATTTGAAAAGATATATTCGGCACACTATGTATGTTTTTTTTATGTTCTAACATAGTTGGATCTAGGGGTGATCATGGGAAAAAATATTAACCCAATTTATATATATATGCATATATAAAAATACTTTTGAAAAAAAAACAAAACTCTTTTATTGATATATTTTTTGCGGGGTCTTTTATTGATATATTATGATGCATATTTCATCAATTCATACTTCTAACTTTGGTATGTTTAGGGTATTTAATAAAATTATATAAATTTGATCAACTATATAAAAATATATGATACATTGCGTTTTAAACGAGTTCTTTGCCCAGTTTGCTACTAGTACCATGAGCTAAGATACAACAAGTAAAAGTCTTTCGCGTGGCGCGTGACTCCTGTGTCGTGAGAAAGTCGTCATGGCATCTTGCTCTGTCTGTCCGTAGTGAATCTCCCCGTCTTTACGCTCGGATCGATCGGTTTCCGTTTTCTCTGGCCCATGCCAACGCACCCAGCAGTCGTACTGTCGGCTGAAAAATAGCAATTTTCCATGTTGACCAACTTGTCGACTATAAAAATATTTGGTCATTCTGGCAAGGAGATGCTCTCCCCTACCCACCGGTTCATATTCATAACCTGCTTTTTCTTTAGAGTATTTTGTTTTTTACATGCTTTTGTGATAGATTATGGTTATGTTTAGCTCACACTGAAATTTGGAAGTTTGGTTGAAATTGGAACGTGTGACTGAAAAGTTATGTGTATGAAAGGTTTGATGTAATGGTAAGTTGGAAGTAGAAAAAAACTTTGAAACTAAACAGGCCTATATATGGGTGAAGTTTGTAGGTGACCTAGCTAGGCAGCTAGCTATATTTTGCTTCTGAGCTTTGTTTGGGGTCATATAATGTCTAAACGTCAAGTACTACCTGAGTCTTAAATATTTGATGTTGGTAACGTCAAATAAAAAGTAGAGGGAGTATATAAGAGATAGTATATTTGTTTTATATGTGATGTAGTTCTTGTGTCCCAGATTAAAATAGAAGATATGTGTCTTTCAAGAAAAAAGACCAGAAGTTAAAACTTTACAAAAGTGGTATAATTGGATTTGTATTTAAAAGTATTTTCTATGATATTAATTCCATAGTCGTTGATAATATATTACGAAAGAAATTCATATCATCAGGATTTTTTGCACTACCGCTATGTCGGTGACATGGGACCGGGAGTATCATGACTAGAGGCTTGGGCAGGAGCAATCACCCACGAGGTCTGACCCCCTCGGGGGGGTCGGGTCCGAGGGTGATGTGGCCGCCCCCCTCTTTGTCTCCCCGAGGGGTCGGACCGCTCCCGTTTCGGCCCCGAGGGCTGAGGCGCCCCGACCTCTTGGGGGTTTTGCGCCGCGTGTCTGGGTTAGGCAAGCGCAGCGGGGCTCACCTAACCGCATTTATTGCGGTTTGGTCAAGCGCGTCACGCCGCATGTAACGCAGTGCAGCGCGCTCGTTTATCCGGTCTGTGACCAGTCACAGACCGATCAGATCGTGGATTAGGTGGCGACAGGCGGTCTGACACACGCCTTGCCCCATCCCGTCAAGATGAGAGCCTCCAAGCACTCGTCCCTAGCCGGAGCCGGCGTGTTACCTCCTGGAGATGGCACGTTGGTCCCGGTCAGATATATGCCAGGCTTCATCCTAACCATTACAAGCAAGATATTGTATGAAGAAGGGCAAACATGCAGATTGATAAACTGACACGCGGTGGACAAAGGTGACCGGTCTGTGACCGGTCTGACACTGGTCATGTCGTCAGCAGACAGCCATGTTCCCACGTCGCGCCTGCTTCCGGCGGAAGTGGA